CTTCATCTGCATCTTCCTTACCCCGCTCCTGTCCTCGGTTCCCACGCTCTCCACCGGCCCCGCACTGGTGATGGTGGGCGTCTTCATGATTGAGGGCGTGAAGGACATCGACTGGACGGACTACATGCAGGCCATCCCCTCCACCATTTGCATTCTGCTGCAGATCACTACGTACAAGATCGAGGTCGGCGTGCTGGGTGCCCTGATGGTCTGGGCCTTCCTGATGATCTTCTCCGGCCGTGTCTTCTTGTACAACGACAAGGTTTGGAACTCCATGCCGGGATGGTTCCAGAACTTCGTTGCCAACCAGAACGGCGACGAGGAGTTCCGCAATCGCCTGAGGGAGGTCGGCAAGCTGCCGCCGGCTGACGAGAAGATGCCGGCAGAAATGCAGGCCTAGGTCGAAAATCTGCGCCGAATTTTCCCTTTGATTTCTGTACCTCATGCTGGAGCCCTGCTGCTGATGCTGCAGGTCTCATGGCTGAGTTTAGTCTGGCCACGTTTGGTGGACCCGGGTATCCTGGATGCTGCGAGACTCGCAGACTTCTAAAGGCTATCACAAGCCCAGTAATTGCCGCAGCGTCTGGGACAAAGGCCGTGAGGCTGAGGCCCAGGCCTTACTTACGTCAAAGTTTGCAGCGCTGAACAAACGTTCAGCTTTTGCAAAAAGTGTGATCGGGAGATGTTCTCTTCCTTACAGCTTTTGGCAGCTCGGACTTGCCTGAGGCAACTGTCTGAGGTCAGAAAGCGTTTCTGTTCATCTGCCATCACGTCACATCCTCTTGTAGCTGGCTCAGGCCAGCCCGTTTGCACTCGGCATCAAAACGGCTACTGTACCCCGACACCCCAACTGCCGAACCGCAAGCCTGCGTTGTCAAAGTCGAAGCGCCCAGCCGCATCCACTAGTCATCTACTCTCACGTAAGTGTCGCACGGCACGTAGATCCACACAGTCTCATGTCGTGCTGTGCTCACACCCTTCAAGCGGAATTACTTTTCTGCTGACCGTGTGGTGTGTGTGACGGATGAGTCCTCGAAAAGCCTGAAATGCGATCCTCTGCGGCTCCAGCGCAGAATACCATCAGCGGCCCAATTTTAGTGTGCCTTTGCCACGGTATCGGGTCCCCACCATGGCAGACGCGGCAGAGCTGGACTTCAAGGTGGGTGCCAAAGGCAGCTAGGCCCAGTAATTTGACGATGAAGCAGATAGAGTTCTCCTAATTGGGGACTGCTTCTAAGAAAGTCCGGGGGGGTCTTTGCATATGCAGGCGCCCTTGTGTAAGTGACAGGCAAATTCGAAGCAGCATCCCAACTTGCGTTAAGTAGCAGCCTGTAAGCCAGGCACCAGGCACAGCAGCTTGCGCGGAATCCATGTGAGGAAGCCGTAGTAGAGCCTTGACCCATCGAGAACTCTTCCAGAAAGTTTCGCAAGATGGCTGTTTTCCCTCCCAGGCAAGAAGCAGTTGGTGGACAACAAGCTGGACACGATGTTTCGTGGCGGCAAGGTGGACAACTACTTCAAGGCACGGCTTTGACGGCGCCGTCTGGCTTTCCAGCTGTTCCGTCGGAGAGTCGAGTGTTGTCCCCGCAGGTCTCTCAACGTGGGTCAAACCTCACCACAGAGATCCGCGCTGGCATCACCACCTTCTTGACGGCTGCTTACATCATGGCTGTGGCTCGTCACTGAGACTCGGGTGGGGACGCCGGGAACTTGGCTTCGGATGAGATGTCCTTTCCCCCATGGATGTTCAAGCAGAGTGGCACCGAGCTTCTGGGAAGGGACATGTGTCTGTTTGTCGAATATGCACAACAGATCTGTTTGTAAAGAAATATTAATAAATACAAAGAGATAGATATACGTACATATATCATATATCTTTATCTGAACACACATACATACATACATACATACATACATACACATACATATACATATACATACACACGCACACACACACACACACACACATATATATATATATATATATATATATGTATAGATACAGAGACAGATAGACAGACATGCATACACACATGTAAGTGTGTTTCTGTGTCTTTATGTATGCGTGAGTGTCCGTATCTTTCTCCGTGTTGGATACCCAAGATGCCAGATGCAGGTCCGAGAATCTCTCGAGTCTGGGGTTGCGATCATATTTCGCGGCACTGTTTTTATGCGCATCGGAGAGCTCAGCACATGAGGTGAACCCGAACATTCTGAGCACCACGGGGCTGAAGTTCGAAGGCCTGGTCTTTGCGACAGCTGGGTCAAGCTGCATTGCGCCCCTCGTCGGCTGGCTGTTGTTGTCTAGGGCCACGCGTGCAGGCTTTGTGTTGTAAGAGGCAGTTGCGAGTGAGCACGGTGGTCGAGGCCAAGCTATGTTTGCTGGCTTGCATGAAAGGGCGAGACAATACTGAGCTGAATGCTCGGCTAGCTGGGCGGGAGGGCCAACCGAGGACCTTGATCATGGCCCTGTGGGCTAACCTGCCTTTCGGCTTGTGGCCCGGCATGGGCATGAACGCCTACTTTGCATACACCATCGTGGGCTTCAAGGGTGGGCAGAACTCTGTGAAGAAGGTGATGTTTGCCGTGACCATCGAAGGTGTGATCTTCATTCTGATGTCCCTCTTCGATCTTCGAAGATATGTCTTCAAGGTGTTCCCCACCTGGATGATGAAAGCGACGATGGCTGGCATCGGCTTGTTCTTGGCCTTCATCGGCTTGCAGGCGGGCAACGGCATCGACATCGTGCGGGATCATCCGGCTGTGCTGGTGGACCTCGTGACGCTGACCGGAGAGCACTTCCTGCGCACGTGGATCGGCATCGCTTTCTTCTGCCTCATGAGCCTGTTGATCCTCCTGCGCGTGCGGGCGGCCGTGATGATCGTGATCCTGCTTAGCGCCATCCTGTCGTGGATCTTGAACGCGGCTGCCGTGGAGCAGTTCACCTACAAGCCCATGTGCTGCTTGGGCAGCGTGTCCTACACAGAGCCGTCGGCCGGGGGCGTTGAGTGGTATCCGAAGCCCGGCGGCGGATTTTACCCGAAGCCCACGTGCGAGAACCCGTACACTGTGCCAGGACAGGGAAAGATGGATGAGACGGACTCGGGCGTGAGCTTCAGTTGGGATTCCACGGCCTCCGTGGCGCTTTCGAACGGTGTCTACACCATCACCAATGCTGGCTCCTCGGTGAACCACACTGGCAGCCTCTACTTCGAGGGCATCGCAGCTGGCCGCGACTCCTCCTTCAATGGCGGCTGCACCGACACCTGCCATGCCATGATGGGTGGCTTCAATCCTGCCTGCTTCGGCACGGTGCTGGTCGAGACAGGCTGCTGGACTTCCATGTCCTACCAGAGCCGAGCCACACAATCGCTTGTCCTTGACGAGTTCGGCGAGGGCTGCATCGGTGGGGCTGGCCGTATCCCGAAGACTTTCAGCGCCCCCTCCGCCATCGCCTCCGTTCCGCTCATCGAGATGGCCGGAGACCTGGTGGCTCCTTTCGACGGCTGGTACGGCTGCGATGCGAACGGCGACTGCTTCGCCGGCGACGTGTCGGGTGGCACGATCCTCGCTTGGGATACGTCGGGCTTCAGCGACTGGCAAGGCTTCTGGAACCCGCTGCTCACCCTGCTGTACATCGACTTCATCGGTACGATGGGCTTCCTCTACGCAGCCGCGGACCTGAGTGGCTTGGTCGACCCGAAAAAGCCGGAGACCTTCCCAGGATGCTATGCGGCCTTCATGGCCGATGCCGTCGGCACCTTCGTGGGAGGCTTCTTGGGAACCAGCTCCGTGACCACCTACGGCGAGTCCATGGCCGGCGTCTACGAAGGTGGCCGAACAGGGCTCACGGCTCTGGTCATCGCTTTCATGAACTTCATCTGCATCTTCCTTACCCCGCTCCTGTCCTCGGTTCCCACCCTCTCCACCGGCCCCGCACTGGTGATGGTGGGCGTCTTCATGATTGAGGGCGTGAAGGACATCGACTGGACGGACTACATGCAGGCCATCCCCTCCACCATTTGCATTCTGCTGCAGATCACTACGTACAAGATCGAGGTCGGCGTGCTGGGCGCCCTGATGGTCTGGGCCTTCCTGATGATCTTCTCCGGCCGTGTCTTCTTGTACAACGACAAGGTTTGGAACTCCATGCCGGGATGGTTCCAGAACTTCGTGGCCAACCAGAACGGCGACGAGGAGTTCCGCAATCGCCTGAGGGAGGTCGGCAAGCTGCCGCCGGCTGACGAGAAGATGCCGGCAGAAATGCAGGCCTAGGTCGAAAATCTGCGCCGAATTTTCCCTTTGATTTCTGTACCTCATGCTGGAGCCCTGCTGCTGATGCTGCAGGTCTCATGGCTGAGTTTAGTCTGGCCACGTTTGGTGGACCCGGGTATCCTGGATGCTGCGAGACTCGCAGACTTCTAAAGGCTATCACAAGCCCAGTAATTGCCGCAGCGTCTGGGACAAAGGCCGTGAGGCTGAGGCCCAGGCCTTACTTACGTCAAAGTTTGCAGCGCTGAACAAACGTTCAGCTTTTGCAAAAAAGTGTGATCGGGAGATGTTCTCTTCCTTACAGCTTTTGGCAGCTCGGACTTGCCTGAGGCAACTGTCTGAGGTCAGAAAGCGGTTCTGTTCATCTGCCATCACGTCACATCCTCTTGTAGCTGGCTCAGGTCAGCCCCTTTGCACTCGGCATCAAAACGGCTACTGTACCCCGACACCCCAACTGCCGAACCGCAAGCCTGCGTTGTCAAAGTCGAAGCGCCCCGCCGCATCCGCTTGTCATCTACTCTCACGTAAGTGTCGCACGGCACGCAGATCCACACAGTCTCTTAGATCGTGCTGTCGCTTCAAGTGGCATTACTTTTCTGCTGACCGTGTGGTGTCTGTGACGGATGAGTCCTCGAAACGCCTGAAATGCGATCCTCTGCGGCTCCAGCGCAGAATACCATCAGCGGCCCAATTTTAGTGTGCCTTTGCCACGGTATCGGGTCCCCACCATGGCAGACGCGGCAGAGCTGGACTTCAAGGTGGGTGCCAAAGGCAGCTAGGCCCAGTAATTTGACGATGAAGCAGATAGAGTTCTCCTAATTGGGGACTGCTTCTAAGAAAGTCCGGGGGGGTCTTTGCATATGCAGGCGCCCTTGTGTAAGTGACAGGCAAATTCTAAGCAGCATCCCAACTTGCGGTAAGTAGCAGCCTGTAAGCCAGGCACCAGGCACAGCAGCTTGCGCGGAATCCATGTGAGGAAGCCGTAGTAGAGCCTTGACCCATCGAGAACTCTTCCAGAAAGTTTCGCAAGATGGCTGTTTTCCCTCCCAGGCAAGAAGCAGTTGGTGGACAACAAGCTCGACACGATGTTTCGTGGCGGCAAGGTGGACAACTACTTCAAGGCACGGCTTTGACGGCGCCGTCTGGCTTTCCAGGTGTTCCGTCGGAGAGTCGAGTGTTGTCCCCCGCAGGTCTCTCAACGTGGGTCAAACCTCACCACAGAGATCCGCGCTGGCATCACCACCTTCTTGACGGCTGCTTACATCATGGCTGTGGCTCGTCACTGAGACTCGGGTGGGGACACCGGGAACTTGTGGGAAGGGACATGTGTCTGTTTGTCGAATATGCACAACAGATCTGTTTGTAAAGACATATTAATAAATACAAAGAGATACATATATAGATATATATATATATATGCATATAATACATATATCATATATCTTTATCTGTACATACATACATATATATATATATATATATGTATATATATATGTATATATATGGTTACCCCCCCCCCCCCCCCGAAGATCCACACCCGCCTCTTCCACACAATTCCACAGGTTGTTTCCCTACATTGGTCGACAACTCATATATACCGAAAACACCGTAAATACCGATTCAATGGTGCTTTACCTCATGTGCATGCAAACCGTGCTGCTGCAAGGTGCGGGTTTGATATGTGTAAAAATCTGGCGCCGAATCTCGGCCGCGGATTTATGGTAGTTTATGTGTTGGGGAAGCTGAAATGCTGGAGGGCATGCTAGTTTTGTTCATGTAATACTAAAAAACATCGTGTTTTTTGTGTTGTAAGGTGTGTTATTTGTCAACATTCCTTTAATGTTAAAAATACTATTGTCTCTCTTACGAGGACGTCTGCGTGTGTGGGCCATCTCTTTCCCGCTGCTCGTGAAGCGTCCGATTCTGACGCGGCCTAGTCGCTCTAGCGTTTGATTTATGAGTTACGAAATACAAAGAGCTCTTTTCATGTCCTGTCCCTTATACATGAAGGAAGTCGAATGTACGGGCGCGTTTATTTGTGAAGAAATACTCCAATAGTTGTTCTTTGCCTCATAAGAAATGGGAAAGCTCCCCTCTGGAGTTGAAAAGTTCATGTGCATATGCGGGCGCACAAGAAGGCTCGTCTGCAGCAAGAAGTAAGAAAGCTCTTGCAACCTTCCAAACATGAAGCAGGACTAATTACGACTCTTCTCCGAGATATATGGCAGCATCAATAAAAGTTAACTGAATGAAAACTCATGTATCCTAGGAAACCGAATAGGAAGTCTCCATTGTTTCTGATGATAGCAAAATGCAAACAGTTTCCTACAGTCTTCAATATGAAGTGAAATAAGTTCTAGATAGGCTTGCGATTATTACAGTGTTGGATTTGTAGGCGGTGCAGCTCGCCGAATAAGGGCCAAAACCATTTTCGAGAAAGCTCAGGTACTAGAGCCAGTGCCGCTGCCGCCATGGATGTACCAACCTCCGAAAACATACATGAAATAAACTATGTAACGACTAAGCTGGCCTTGTTCATACTTATCAAACCAGGGTAATGAAAACCTTTGCTGTTCCAGAAGACATATATAATAGTACTTCCAGTCCCTGACAACGGTTGAAAGCACACAATTATCTTGTGATACAATATGTCAGTATATCCTGTCTTGGACATCAGAAAACACTGCAATGCTCAAATAATTCCAAAATTTCCAACCCTAAAACTCACGAAACACTGTTATGCTTAAAAATTCCAAAAAACCTGGCATATATGGTGCAGCGCTGCTGGCCCCCCCCCCTCCCCCCCCCACCCCATGGTATCCGCCCCTCCCCCCCTGTGGTCCCTGTGGTGTGGGTTCCCCCCTGCCCCTCCCCCTGTGCTTGCGGTCAGCTGCACCCCCTTCCATGGCGATGGCTGGTTGGGCGTTCGGTTGCTAAGGGTTTGGACCGTAGGATGTGTTACAATTCACTAAACTCTGACCTGCCCTGAGCTCCAAAGCCAATGGTAGTGATGCAGATGATGGCGATGATGATGACGAAGATGGTGGTCATGATCCCCATCCGCACTCTCCTCTGGTCCCTTGCTCGAGAGTCCCGAATGAAAATCATTCAAACACCCTCAGGCTTTCTTCTAACGAACCCAACCAAAACTTGGCTTGGCTTGGAATGACAACGATCGATACAGTTTTCGCAAGACAACACAAGCCAAGCACGATTTTCAACGAAATAAAGCAATGAACATGCGGTGCCGAAGCCCATAGCAACATCAGAGCAAAGGTACCACCAACAGCCAGACTGCGAATAGCACATCAACATCATTGTGCACAACATCATCCCCATCATTCTCATTTGTGTGTCGAAGGGAGGGGAAGGGGAAGGGGCCCTGTGGTTCCCTGTGTGGGTTACCCTTCCCCACCCTGCCCCTGTGGTTCCCTGTCACCCGTTTGCCAAGGCGAGAGGGGGGGAGTTACGCGGATGACGTGTGATTGTTTGCTGGGACGAGAGGCCTGGCTTGGGGTGCGGGGGCCGGGGGGGGGGGGCATACCATGGGCGGGGGGGGGGGCCTGCGACGCGGCGACGCGGCACCATATATGGCCAGGTCAGCGGCAGAATCCTTAAAACTTTGGAATTTTTTGAGCATAGCAGTGTTTCGTGAGCTTTGGGGCAATGAAAAGTTGATTTTTTTTGAGCACTAAAGTGTTTTGTGAGTTTTATTCCACGAAACACTGCTATGCTCAAAAAAATGGGCTTTGACAGTGTTTTGTGAGTTTTAAACCACGAAACATTGCTATGCTCAAAAAAAGTGAGCCTTGAGTCTGTGAAAAGTGGATTTTATTTGAGCATTACAGTGTTTTGTGAGGTTCAAGCTACGAAACACTGTAATGCTCAAAAAAATTCAATATTTCCAACCCTGACACTCACGAAACACTGTAATGCTCAAGAAATTCCAAAAACTCCAAAATTCTGGCATCTATGGCCAGGCCGGGTGCAAATTCCTTAAGATTTTGGAATTTTTTGAGCATAGCAGTGTTTCGTGCGTTTCAAGGCTTGGAAAAGTTTTTTTTTGAGCATTACCGTGTTTCGTTGTGTAAAACTCACAAAACACTGTAATGCTCAAAAACATACACTTTTCACAGCCTCAAAGCCCATTTTTTTGAGCTTAGGAGTGTTTCGTGGTTTAAAACTCACAAAACACTGTCAAAGCCCATTTTTTTGAGCATAGCAATGTTTCGTGGTTTAAAACTCACAAAACACTTTAGTGCTCAAGAAAAATCAGCTTTTCATTGCCTCAAAGCTCACGAAACACTGCTATGCTCAAAAAATTCCAAAGTTTTAAGGATTCTGCCGTTGACCTGGCCATATATGCCAGAATTGTGAAATTTTTGGAAATTTTTGAGCATTACAAAGTATCGTGAATTTCAGGGTTGGAAATTTCGGATTTTTTTGAGCATAGCAGAATTTCGTGGTTTAAAACTCACAAAACACTGTGATGCTCAAAAAAGATCAACTTTTCATTGCCTCAAAGCTCACGAAACACTGCTATGCTGAAAAAATTCCAAAGTTTTAAGGAATTTGCCACCGGCCTGGCCATAGATGCCAGAATTTAGGAATTTTTGGAATTGTTTGAGCATTACAGTGTTTCGTGAGTTTTAGGGTTGGGAATTTGGAATTTTCTGAGCATTACAGTGTTTCGTGCGCCCCATGCCCCAAGAACCACGATGGCGTGGATCTGGGGGGGGGGGGGGGGGGGGCGAGCATAGATATATATATATATATATATATATATATATAGATAGATATATAGATATATAGATATTATAGATATATATATATATATATAGATTATATAGATATATATAGATATGATATATATATATATAGAATATATAATATATATAATATATATAGATTATATATATATATATAGATATCATATATTATATATAGATCGATATATATAGATATATAGATATATATAGATATATATATATATAGATATATATAGATATATATATATATAGATATATAATATAGATATATATATATAGATATATATAGATATATATAGATATATATATAGATATATATAGATATATATAGATATATATAGATATATATAGATATATATAGATATAGATATATAGATATATAGATATATAGATATATAGATATATAGATATATAGATATATAGATATATAGATATGTAGATATATAGATATATAGATATATAGATATATAGATATATAGATATATAGATATATAGATATATAGATATATAGATATATATAGATACATGATGGATACAGAGACAGGTAGACAGACGTGCATACACACATGTAAGTGTGTTTGTGTGTCTTTATGTATGCATGAGTGTCCGTATCTGTCTCCGTGTTGGATACCCAAGATGCCAGATGCAGGTCCGAGAATCTCTCGAGTCTGGGGTTGCGATCATATTTCGCGGCACTGTTTTTATGCGCATCGGAGAGCTCAGCACATGAGGTGAACCCGAACATTCTGAGCACCACGGGGCTGAAGTTCGAAGGCCTGGTCTTTGCGACAGCTGGGTCAAGCTGCATTGCGCCCCTCGGCTGGTTGTTGTTGTCTAGGGCCACGCGCGTAGGCTTTGTGTCGTAAGAGGCAGTTGCGAGTGAGCACGGCGGTCGAGGCTAAGCTATGTTTGCAGGCTTGCATGAAAGGGCGAGAGAATACTGAGCTGAATGCTCGGCTAGCTGGGCGGGAGGGCCAACCGAGGACCTTGATCATGGCCCTGTGGGCTAACCTGCCTTTCGGCTTGTGGCCCGGCATGGGCATGAACGCCTACTTTGCATACACCATCGTGGGCTTCAAGGGTGGGCAGAACTCTGTGAAGAAGGTGATGTTTGCCGTGACCATCGAAGGTGTGATCTTCATTCTGATGTCCCTCTTCGATCTTCGAAGATATGTCTTCAAGGTGTTCCCCACCTGGATGATGAAAGCGACGATGGCTGGCATCGGCTTGTTCTTGGCCTTCATCGGCTTGCAGGCGGGCAACGGCATCGACATCGTGCGGGATCATCCGGCTGTGCTGGTGGACCTCGTGACGCTGACCGGAGAGCACTTCCTGCGCACGTGGATCGGCATCGCTTTCTTCTGCCTCATGAGCCTGTTGATCCTCCTGCGCGTGCGAGCGGCCGTGATGATCGTGATCCTGCTTAGCGCCATCCTGTCGTGGATCTTGAACGCGGCTGCCGTGGAGCAGTTCACCTACAAGCCCATGTGCTGCTTGGGCAGCGTGTCCTACACAGAGCCGTCGGCCGGGGGCGTTGAGTGGTATCCGAAGCCCGGCGGCGGATTTTACCCGAAGCCCACGTGCGAGAACCCGTACACTGTGCCAGGACAGGGAAAGATGGATGAGACGGACTCGGGCGTGAGCTTCAGTTGGGATTCCACGGCCTCCGTGGCGCTTTCGAACGGTGTCTACACCATCACCAATGCTGGCTCCTCGGTGAACCACACTGGCAGCCTCTACTTCGAGGGCATCGCAGCTGGCCGCGACTCCTCCTTCAATGGCGGCTGCACCGACACCTGCCATGCCATGATGGGTGGCTTCAATCCTGCCTGCTTCGGCACGGTGCTGGTCGAGACAGGCTGCTGGACTTCCATGTCCTACCAGAGCCGAGCCACACAATCGCTTGTCCTTGACGAGTTCGGCGAGGGCTGCATCGGTGGGGCTGGCCGTATCCCGAAGACTTTCAGCGCCCCCTCCGCCATCGCCTCCGTTCCGCTCATCGAGATGGCCGGAGACCTGGTGGCTCCTTTCGACGGCTGGTACGGCTGCGATGCGAACGGCGACTGCTTCGCCGGCGACGTGTCGGGTGGCACGATCCTCGCTTGGGACACGTCGGGCTTCAGCGACTGGCAAGGCTTCTGGAACCCGCTGCTCACCCTGCTGTACATCGACTTCATCGGTACGATGGGCTTCCTCTACGCAGCCGCGGACCTGAGTGGCTTGGTCGACCCGAAGAAGCCGGAGACCTTCCCAGGATGCTATGCGGCCTTCATGGCCGATGCCGTCGGCACCTTCGTGGGAGGCTTCTTGGGAACCAGCTCCGTGACCACCTACGGCGAGTCCATGGCCGGAGTCTACGAAGGTGGCCGAACAGGGCTCACGGCTCTGGTCATCGCTTTCATGAACTTCATCTGCATCTTCCTTACCCCGCTCCTGTCCTCGGTTCCCACCCTCTCCACCGGCCCCGCACTGGTGATGGTGGGCGTCTTCATGATTGAGGGCGTGAAGGACATCGACTGGACCGACTACATGCAGGCCATCCCCTCCACTATCTGCATTCTGCTGCAGATCACCACGTACAAGATCGAGGTCGGCGTGCTGGGTGCCCTGATGGTCTGGGCCTTCCTGATGATCTTCTCCGGCCGTGTCTTCTTGTACAACGACAAGGTTTGGAACTCCATGCCGGGATGGTTCCAGAACTTCGTGGCCAACCAGAACGGCGACGAGGAGTTCCGCAATCGCCTGAGGGAGGTCGGCAAGCTGCCGCCGGCTGACGAGAAGATGCCGGCAGAAATGCAGGCCTAGGTCGAAAATCTGCGCCGAATTTTCCCTTTGATTTCTGTACCTCATGCTGGAGGCCCTGCTGCTGATGCTGCAGGTCTCATGGCTGAGTTTAGTCTGGCCACGTTTGGTGGACCCGGGTATCCTGGATGCTGCGAGACTCGCAGACTTCTAAAGGCTATCACAAGCCCAGTAATTGCCGCAGCGTCTGGGACAAAGGCCGTGAGGCTGAGGCCCAGGCCTTACTTACGTCAAAGTTTGCAGCGCTGAACAAACGTTCAGCTTTTGCAAAAAGTGTGATCGGGAGATGTTCTCTTCCTTACAGCTTTTGGCAGCTCGGACTTGCCTGAGGCAACTGTCTGAGGTCAGAAAGCGTTTCTGTTCATCTGCCATCACGTCACATCCTCTTGTAGCTGGCTCAGGTCAGCCCCTTTGCACTCGGCATCAAAACGGCTACTGTACCCCGACACCCCAACTTCCGAACCGCAAGCCTGCGTTGTCAAAGTCGAAGAGCCCCGCCGCATCCGCTTGTCATCTACTCTCATGTAAGTGTCGCGCGGCACGCAGATCCACACAGCCTCTTGGATTGCGCTGTCGCTTCAAGTGGCATTACTTTTCTGCTGACCGTGGTGTGTGTGTGTGTGACGGATGAGTAACCGAAAAGCCTGAAATGCGATCCTCTGCGGCTCCAGCGCAGAATACCATCAGCGGCCCAATTTTAGTGTGCCTTTGCCACGGTATCGGGTCCCCACTATGGCAGACGCGGCAGAGCTGGACTTCAAGGTGGGTGCCAAAGGCAGCTAGGCACAGTAATTTGACGATGAAGCAGATAGAGTTCTCCTAATTGGGGACTGCTTCTAAGAAAGTCCGGGGGGGTCTTTGCATATGCAGGCGCCCTTGTGTAAGTGACAGCCAGAAAGTTTCGCGAGATGGCTGTTTTCCCTCCCAGGCAAGAAGCAGTTAGTGGACAACAAGCTCGACACGATGTTTCGTGGCGGCAAGGTGGACAACTACTTCAAGGCACGGCTTTGACGGCGCCGTCTGGCTTTCCAGCTGTTCCGTCGGAGAGTCGAGTGTTGTCCCCGCAGGTCTCTCAACGTGGGTCAAACCTCACCACAGAGATCCGCGCTGGCATCACCACCTTCTTGACGGCTGCGTACATCATGGCTGTGGCTCGTCACTGAGACTCGGGTGGGGACGCCGGGAACTTGTGGGAAGGGACATGTGTGTGTTTGTCGAATATGCACAACAGATCTGTTTGTAAAGACATATTATAAATCAAAAGATATATATATATATATATATACATCCATGCCTACATATATCATATATCTTTATCTATACATACATGCATATATATATATATATATGTATATATACATGTATATGGTACCCTCCCCCATTGACCTACCCTTTTTGGTCTTTTTGAAAGGCAAGGGTGGGTCGGGGCGGGGTGTACCCGAATGGAGCGGCGTTCCCAAAGACCTAGTTTCTTAAAAGACTCAATCTTTCGGAGGTCGAGGGAGACTGTATCCAAAACCCAAAAAATTCAGGCCTCGCAGCACCCTGGAACTCTGGGCGCTGCAAAACACTGAGAGGCCTCAATCTTTTGGAATCCCGAACCTCAGAAAAGTTTAGGCCTCTCAGTGTTTTGCAGCTTCCAGATTCCAAAACACTGAGAGGCCTCAATCTTTTTATGATTTTGAAGCCAAAACGCTCGGAGGCCCCAAAAGACTCAAAAGACTCAATCTTTTGGAGGTCTTGGGAAACTATAACCAAAATCAGAAAAATTGAGGCCTCTCAGTGTTTTGCAGCTTCCAGATTCCAAAACACTGAGAGGCCTCAATCTTTTGGAATCCCGAACCTCGGAAAAATTGAGGCCTCTCAGTGTTTTGCAGCTTCCAGATTCCAAAACATTGAGAGGCCTCAATCTTTTGGAATCCCGAACCTCAGAAAAATTGAGGCCTCTCAGTGTTTTGCAGCTTCCAGATTCCAAAACATTGAGAGGCCTCAATCTTTTGGAATCCAGAACCTCAGAAAAATTGAGGCCTCTCAGTGTTTTGCAGCTTCCAGATTCCAAAACACTGAGAGGCCTCAATCTTTTGGAATCCCGAACCTCAGAAAAATTGAGGCCTCTCCGTGTTTTGCAGCTTCCAGATTCCAAAACACTGAGAGGCCTCAATCTTATTGATTTTAAGGCTAGTTTCCTAAGACCTCCAAAAGATTGAGTCTTTTGAGTCTTTTGGGGCCTCCCAGCGTTTTGGCTTCAAAATCATAAAAAGATTGAGGCCTCTCAGTGTTTTGGAGCTCCCACAGTCCCAATGTGCTGAGAGGCCTCAATCTTTTTGAGTCTTGAATCTCAAAAAGATTGGGGCCGCTCCAGGTTTTGCAGCTCTCACAGTTCCAAAGTGCTGAGAGGCCTCAATCTTTTGGAGTCTTGAACTTGGGGCCGAGAATATCTGGCCACATTAGTTTTCTGCTTCTGCTGCCATTTTGTTTTTGTTTGTTTGGGGCCCTGGGCCCTGTTACTCTGTTACTCTCATACTCTTATACTCTATGACTCTATTACTCTATTACCCTATGACTCTATTACTCTCTTACTCCAAAAGCTCTATTACTCTATTACTCTAGTATTCTATTAGTCTATTACTCTGTTACTTTATTACTCTATTACTCTATTACTCTATTATTCTATTACTCTATTACTCTATTACTCAAATACTCTATTACTCTATTACTCTATTACTCTATGACCCTATTACTCTTATACTCTCACTCTATTATTCTATTACTCTATTACTCGATTACTCGATTACTCGATTACTCTATTACTCTATTACTCTATTACTCTATTACTCTAATACTCTATTACTCTACTACTCCACTAACTCTATTTATTACTCTATTACTCTATCTACTTTATTTCCTCTATGACTCTATGACTCTATTACTCTGCTACTACCCCTACTCCTACTACTACTACTACTACTACTATTACTACTACTAATACTACTACTACTACTACTACTACTACTACTACTACTACTACTACTACTACTACTACTACTACTCGTACTACTAATACTGCTATTGCTACTGTTACTGGTACTGTGTTACTATTACTATGCAGCACTATTACTATTACCATTACTATTACTATTACTATTACCATTACCAATGCATAAAGTCATGGAGCAAAGCCTGCGGGTCACGCGGATCGCGCGCACTGTTTCTTGTACTATTACTCTATTCTTTATTACTCTACTGCTATTGCTCTATTGCTCTATTGCTCTATTGCTTTATTGCTTTGTTACCTTATTACTCTATTAGTCCTTTCGTCTTAAAACCTGTTTAGTTTGTTTAGTCTATTAGTCTACTAGTCGATTAGTCTACTCGTCTATTCGTCTATTAGTACTATTACTATTACTTCTACTATTACTATTACTATTACTATTACTCTTACTATTAATTACTATTACTTTTACTATTACTATGCAGCACTATTACTATTACCATTACTATTACTATTACCATTACCAATGCATAAAATCATGGAGCAAAGCCTGCGGGTCACGCGCTTCGCGCGCACCTTTTCTTGTACTATTACTCTTTCTTTATTACTCTATTGCTATTGCTCTATTGCTCTATTGCTCTATTGCTCTATTGCTTTATTGCTTTGTTACTTTATTACTCTATTAGTCTTTTCGTCTTTTAATCTGTTTAGTTTGTTTAGTCTATTAGTCTATTAGTCTATTAGTCTATCAGTCTATTAGTCTACTAGTCTATTCGTCTATCCGTCTTTTAGTCTATTCGTCTATTCGTCTATTAGTCTATGACTGTATTACTCTATTACTCTTTACTATTACCAGTACTAGTACTATCTATAACAAACACGCGAAAAAAGCCACAGGTGCAAAAAAATAATGACGACAAAAATAGGCCCTCCCTTGCCCATGCATCATTGCCACTCATTGCTCCTGAGACCCCCAACAAAGGTAGGTCAATGGGGGGGGGGGTAGCATGTATATATATATATATATAGATACATGATAGATACAGAGACAGGTAGACAGACATGCATACACACATGTAAGTGTGTTTCTGTGTCTTTATGTATGCGTGAGTGTCCGTATCTGTCTCCGTGTTGGATACCCAAGATGCCAGATGCAGGTCCGAGAATCTCTCGAGTCTGGGGTTGCGATCATATTTCGCGGCACTGTTTTTATGCGCATCGGAGAGCTCACCACATGAGGTGAACCCGAACATTCTGAGCACCACGGGGCTGAAGTTCGAAGGCCTGGTCTTTGCGACAGCTGGGTCAAGCTGCATTGCGCCCCTCGGCTGGTTGTTGTTGTCTAGGGCCACGCGCGTAGGCTTTGTGTTGTAAGAGGCAGTTGCGAGTGAGCACGGCGCTCGAGGCTAAGCTATGTTTGCAGGCTTGCATGAAAGGGCGAGAGAATACTGAGCTGGATGCTCGGCTAGCTGGGCGGGAGGGCCAACCGAGGACCTTGATCATGGCCCTGTGGGCTAACCTGCCTTTCGGCTTGTGGCCCGGCATGGGCATGAACGCCTACTTTGCATACACCATCGTGGGCTTCAAGGGTGGGCAGAACTCTGTGAAGAAGGTGATGTTTGCAGTGACCATCGAAGGTGTGATCTTCATTCTGATGTCCCTCTTCGATCTTCGAAGATATGTCTTCAAGGTGTTCCCCACCTGGATGATGAAAGCGACGATGGCTGGCATCGGCTTGTTCTTGGCCTTCATCGGCTTGCAGGCGGGCAACGGCATCGACATCGTGCGGGATCATCCGGCTGTGCTGGTGGACCTCGTGACGCTGACCGGAGAGCACTTCCTGCGCACGTGGATCGGCATCGCTTTCTTCTGCCTCATGAGCCTGTTGATCCTCCTGCGCGTGCGGGCGGCCGTGATGATCGTGATCCTGCTTAGCGCCATCCTGTCGTGGATCTTGAACGCGGCTGCCGTGGAGCAGTTCACCTACAAGCCCATGTGCTGCTTGGGCAGCGTGTCCTACACAGAGCCGTCGGCCGGGGGCGTTGAGTGGTATCCGAAGCCCGGCGGCGGATTTTACCCGAAGCCCACGTGCGAGAACCCGTACACTGTGCCAGGACAGGGAAAGATGGATGAGACGGACTCGGGCGTGAGCTTCAGTTGGGATTCCACGGCCTCCGTGGCGCTTTCGAACGGTGTCTACACCATCACCAATGCTGGCTCCTCGGTGAACCACACTGGCAGCCTCTACTTCGAGGGCATCGCAGCTGGCCGCGACTCCTCCTTCAATGGCGGCTGCACCGACACCTGCCATGCCATGATGGGTGGCTTCAATCCTGCCTGCTTCGGCACGGTGCTGGTCGAGACAGGCTGCTGGACTTCCATGTCCTACCAGAGCCGAGCCACACAATCGCTTGTCCTTGACGAGTTCGGCGAGGGCTGCATCGGTGGGGCGGGCCGTATCCCGAAGACTTTCAGCGCCCCCTCCGCCATCGCCTCCGTTCCGCTCATCGAGATGGCCGGAGACCTGGTGGCTCCTTTCGACGGCTGGTACGGCTGCGATGCGAACGGCGACTGCTTCGCCGGCGACGTGTCGGGTGGCACGATCCTCGCTTGGGACACGTCGGGCTTCAGCGACTGGCAAGGCTTCTGGAACCCGCTGCTCACCCTACTGTACATCGACTTCATCGGCACGATGGGCTTCCTCTACGCAGCCGCGGACCTGAGTGGCTTGGTCGACCCGAAAAAGCCGGAGACCTTCCCAGGATGCTATGCGGCCTTCATGGCCGATGCCGTCGGCACCTTCGTGGGAGGCTTCTTGGGAACCAGCTCCGTGACCACCTACGGCGAGTCCATGGCCGGCGTCTACGAAGGTGGCCGAACAGGGCTCACGGCTCTGGTCATCGCTTTCATGAACTTCATCTGCATCTTCCTTACCCCGCTCCTGTCCTCGGTTCCCACCCTCTCCACCGGCCCCGCACTGGTGATGGTGGGCGTCTTCATGATTGAGGGCGTGAAGGACATCGACTGGACCGACTACATGCAGGCCATCCCCTCCACTATCTGCATTCTGCTGCAGATCACCACGTACAAGATCGAGGTCGGCGTGCTGGGTGCCCTGATGGTCTGGGCCTTCCTGATGATCTTCTCCGGCCGTGTCTTCTTGTACAACGACAAGGTTTGGAACTCCATGCCGGGATGGTTCCAGAACTTCGTTGCCAACCAGAACGGCGACGAGGAGTTCCGCAATCGCCTGAGGGAGGTCGGCAAGCTGCCGCCGGCTGACGAGAAGATGCCGGCAGAAATGCAGGCCTAGGTCGAAAATCTGCGCCGAATTTTCCCTTTGATTTCTGTACCTCATGCTGGAGGCCCTGCTGCTGATGCTGCAGGTCTCATGGCTGAGTTTAGTCTGGCCACGTTTGGTGGACCCGGGTATCCTGGATGCTGCGAGACTCGCAGACTTCTAAAGGCTATCACAAGCCCAGTAATTGCCGCAGCGTCTGGGACAAAGGCCGTGAGGCTGAGGCCCAGGCCTTACTTACGTCAAAGTTTGCAGCGCTGAACAAACGTTCAGCTTTTGCAAAAAGTGTGATCGGGAGATGTTCTCTTCCTTACAGCTTTTGGCAGCTCGGACTTGCCTGAGGCAACTGTCTGAGGTCAGAAAGCGTTTCTGTTCATCTGCCATCACGTCACATCCTCTTGTAGCTGGCTCAGGTCAGCCCGTTTACACTCGGCATCAAAAAGGCCACACTTGCGCGAATGCGTTGTCAGAGTTGGCAAAGTACTCATTCGTTCATGCCATCTCATCGATCAAGCTGCTGGCAAGAGACAGGTTCTGAGTAGCCAGAGTAAGGTGCACCCCTGTGGCTGAAAGCGAAGCACTGAGTTGCCGAATACAACACACCGCCCGGCCATTCCATGATTTGGACGGTGCTGGTCTCCCTTGGCCAGGCGGAGCCGCCAATATTACTACAGGATCCAGGCTCTAAGTCGTCCCAGGTATCCCAAAGGCATCCCGCAGGGGCTTGGTTCTTGGTTCCACGGACCTGGCAGCATTGAAGATCAGTTTTTCAATGAAGATCTCAATATAGACTACTCATCGGAACCACGATCCAAGACTCAAGTGTCCTGGGCATGTTGGTTCTTGGTTCTAAGTTCCACTCGCCTGGTTGTCTCTTCATGGATTGCGACCGAAACGCTGGCTGCTGCAGCTTTTCTGGGTCAAGGTAGATGTTTGAGAGACCGGGCTTTTGGCCTTTCTTTCTAGGTTGGCTAGGCTGCAGCGGCGGGAGCCATACCTCTGACTGGATCCTTCTTTGCGTTCTGGCTTGGTTTTTGGGATTGTGCACTGGTTGCCTCGCAACTCTGCTCATAACCTCTGCAACTGCCAGGAACATCGTGTGGGGCTGCTTGGGGGCTTTCGTTCGTGAACTGCATCCTGCGCCTCCTCCACTTCAGGGGGACCGTCTAGCGAGGTATCGGCGGCCTGTGCATGAGCACAGGGCGTGATCCCACCGAGTTGGTGGATCTGCTGCGAGCCTTAGGCAACCTAACCATCAACGTGAACGTGACCAACGCCCCAGGCACATCTACTTCAAGCAGTGCTTCTATCGGGACTGAAGCGGCCCCGGCAGCTTCTTCTGCTGCTCGTGACTCGGTTCCTCGGAGCCGGCCGCTGGTCTACGGGCCTTGGGAACCTCGGGCCACTCCAGTCACTTGCCCTACTTCGGTGACTTCTCTTGCTCGACAGCTTCGCGGCACAGTCAACGGGCAAAATCCCTTGCAGAGGATTGAGACGGCTTACGCTTTGGGCCGAGAGGCTCAGCTGATCTACTCAGGGGAGGAGCGATACTTTACCGCTCGGCCTCGCGCTCGGAAGGTTTGCTACGTGGTCCTTTGCGGCCGCAACGTCGACGAGCCCTTCTACACCACTTCTGCTTTCCTCTACTCGCAGGCCGAAATTTCGAGCCAACTTCGATTTCCCACGGCTTTGGCAGCATTGCCGAGGCCGAGGCTTTTTGTCGTGGCGCAGGCTTGCACGGCTTGCCCACCCGGCGTGACTGATGGCTGCTGAGGCAGCTCAGGCAGCAGTGGCCGACCAGCTCGCTTGTCGTGAGTTTGTTGTTTTGGTCGACAGTGTTTTCGGTAAGTACTTGAGCTTGCATTGCTTAGCCCTGCGCCGCACTGCTAGCTCAAGCTGTCGACCCGGATCGCTTCCGATTTTAGCTTTTTCATGCATTGCACTTGCTTAGCTATACATGCAGCTTTACATGCAGCTTTCTACACAGCTTGAGTTTGCATGCATTCACTTTTGGTATTTTCTTGCGAGCTAGGCTTCTTTTGCTCCGCTCTGCTCCGCGCCATGGGTCGCCAAGGGCAGATCAAACGGCCGCGCGCCGAGCCCGCAGTCGCTTCTGCCAGCACCGCTGTGCACCCGCCCACACATGCTCAGCTCGTTGTGGCTCGCTGGGCCCTTTGGCGTCGTTCCCCAGGGTCTTTCGCTATGCCCAGCACTGCTTCTTGGATTGCATGCCTTGAGTCGGCGTGCTCAGCAGGTTTCTTGCTCAGCTTCCTCTGCTTCTTTGACTGCCAGTGCCTCGCTCAGCTTTGCGTCGCTTCGCACAGGCATCTTTGCACTTCTTGGGACGTCTCTCCTTCTTGCAGACGCATTCTGCTCAGCGTTGCTTTCCGCAATCGCACCCAGCCCGAGGTTTTCTGTTGGCGCTATCAACAAGCTAGGCCCTGCCCCATCAGCAATACCCCGCCTCGCTTGATTCTCGTCAGGCGTCGCCTGGCACTTTGGTCTTCATCGCCCCGCGTCTTCTTTCAGGCGGATTCGACTCTAGGCGTCTGCTGGTTTCAATTCAGAGTCGCGGGTTACTTCTTTAGTTGCTTCTGCATCGCTTCTTTCCGCAGCCTATCTTCAGCAAGCAGAGACGCACGCAATGCTCTTAGCCAGCTGTACCATTTCACCCCAGCCGAGATTGCAGCCCTCGCTTAAGTCCCGCCCCGCCTCTGTTGTCATGTCCTCAGGGTCCGAATGGCTCCGTTACTCCGCTCAGGAACTGCTCCGCAACGCACCGGCTCCTGTTTGGCGCGCCGACGATAGCCCGCCCAGCACTGCATCGGTTTGGTCTAGCACGCCCAGCAGTCTCCGCAGCAGCGTGGTGGCAGCGGCATGTGCCAGAGCCGAAGCATCAGCCTCGCGCCGAGCTGAAGCTTGGCTTGCCTCGCAACGCACCGCCCACGCCGCAGCATCTCCTGCATCGCACAGCTCCAGTTTCGTGGATCTCGCCTTGGAGGAGGATACACTACTGGATCGCCGCATTCTGCACCGCATCTGCTCTGCATCGCTACCTGAAGAGATTCGGGCACTGCACTGCTGCTCCCAGACTCTCTGGGAGCAGTGGTTGGAGATACGGCAACGTGAGCATCCCTTTTTGTTCTGCGATTTTACCAGCAACGCACCGCCCTGCGCTGCCCTGTGGTACCGCAGGCCCCTGCTTCAGCTCGGCATCTCTTCTGTGCCGATTTATTCTTTGCGCGACGCACAGCCTAGCAACGCTGACGTCATGGTAGATTTTCTACCCGGTGGTTTTTTCCACCCATACGCAATCGCACCGCGCCGCAACTGTTGTGCCGCCAGCACTGTTTCACGCACAGCGCACTAGCACAGCACTGCTTTTGTGGTTTCTACATTGCATCGCAAAAGCATTCTTGCCAGCATCCTTGTTGCATGTCGGTTTCAGCCTTAAGCCCAGCCTTTCTTTAGAGTGCCTCGCGTCTGCCAGGCACTTCTTCCTCGACTTCTGCATCAACCTTTGGCTCGCGGGCCTGCTGCTCATCGGTCGGGGCCGCCCCGCCTCAGTTTTGCAAACCCTCGCTTGGGTCGCGGCTGCACCGCCATGTCCTGCCTCAGGTCAATCAATCTCTGGGCGACATCCCCCTTTTCAGCACCGCTGGCTGCTTTCAGGAGCCGCCTGCCCTGCTCTTTTTTCTTGCTGCGCTCAGCCCGCCTGGATTCAGGTCCTACTTCGTCTTCTGCTTCGCGATCGCTTCGCCTAGCACTGTTTTCGGCAAGCTGCCCTGGTTGCCTCTGCCTCCTTCGCTTTTCCGTTTTTGCTCAGGTCTGCACTTCTTCCTCTTTGAGCCCCGACGGTCTTTGCCTCAGCTCCCTGCATGCCTTGCTCTGCCTCGCATTTTTTCAGCATTGGCTTGCCTACTTGGTGGATTCCCTCCGTGCTTTGGCTCAGCGGGCTACGCAAGGCTCGTCGCACAGCTTCTCGGCCAAGGACACATTTCGTCTCCAGCCCCGCTAGTGGCCCGAGCCTCTTAAGGCACAGCACTGCAGACAGCTCTGCTCCACTTCAGCTTCGCATACTTAAGCACGCATCAGGTCACTTAATAGACTGTCATTATCACTTCTGTTTCTTTGCCCTGCACCGCTCTTGCATCATGTCTGGCTTGGGCGCTGCCTGGGTCGCACTCGCCTCTGCCACCAACGAGGAGTTGGTGGAATCTGCACAGCGCCTTGGACCCCTGCAAAGCCTCAGGCTCAGCGCCTGCCTTACGCACGGCGCTTACTTGGCCGAGATCGAGACGCACTGCAAAGGCAACAAGACGCCCCGCGAGCCCCTGAAAACTATTCCGGAACCCCCGGCCAGCTCTGCACCTTCTGACCCCCCTGCACAGCCAACGCCTGATCCCGCACCAGCACCGCAGGCTGCTCCTGCGGCCACAGCCACACCTGAGCCTGCTGTTGCTCAGCCTTCCCCCGCACCCGCCGCTTTTTCTGACCCTCGCGGCACCTATCCCCCAGCACCGCCACCGCAGGCCAAGAGCTCAGTGCCTGTGAAAGCAATGCCTGCATACCCGCCTGGAGCATTCTACTTGACACCAGTGGGAGACCAGTTTTTCGCAGCCCCACATCCTGCACCATCCGCCGGCCCCGCTACTCAGTCTTGGGCCGATATGTCGGATCCCGCACAACAGCAACCGCTTGACTTTGTCAACCCTGCACCGCCACCAGTGCCGGTTTGGCCCAAGCAGTTTACGCAGCAAGAAAAACGCTGCGCCGATCCCGCACCTGCTCCCCCCGCCCCGCATGCTCAGCCCCGCCCCGCCACGGCCAAGGAGCGGCGCGAAAGCCGCCCCCCGCCCCGCAACGAGGACTTCATCGCCGCCGCTGATGTCCCTGCACAGGATGATCTCGCACATGCCCCGCAAATTGGCTCTTGGTGCCAGGCATCGCACCGCACTCCGGCGGAAGTCCGCTGGAGTCGCCAGGCCCGACCGTGGTATCGAGATCGCCACGGTCGGGTCTGCTGCGCAATTCAATGCGACTCCTCGCACAGCTCCGGCGATTGCTTGCCATGTGGTAAGCCATTCCGCCTTGCACAGCCTCTGGCAACAGAGATGCATAATAAGCACCGCTGCTCGATTTGCAAGAGCAAAGAAGAGAGGGAAGAGCAGTGAGCTCCCCTCCTGCACCCGCACAGCACCGCACTGCAAAAAGTACGGCCGCAGCCCGTTCGGCCTGTTTCCTGCGCCTTTGCTGCCTTAGGGTTCTTCCTACTGCTTTCTGTGCTTGCTCAGGTCCATCTTCATGCTGATCCAGGCACGTTCTTGCAGCGCCTCTGCTCAGCACAGTTTTCTGGACGCTCGCTATGCTCCCGCTTTTCTGGTTTGTCAGGATTTGCCTCGGCATCCAGTGCCCCGCTTTTCTGCTCGTGCACGCCGCTTCTGTCAGCCCGCATTTCTTTGGTTGCCTTTTCTTTGGTGGCCTGCATGCAGGTTGCATCAGCCGGCTTCTTGCTCAAGGCAGGTCCTGCTCGTATCTTGCTCGGGGCCTCTTTGTCCTTTGGTCTGCCTCAGCCCCGCTTGCACCTATGCGCCAGCGATGGAAACGAAAATTCGGCTCCCTCGAGGACCCTGCACCTTGCACTGCATCACCGCCTTCAGCAATTCAAAGCCAGCCAAGCATTGCAATAACTCCGCACGCCTCGGGGTCTGACGATGAACCGTCGCACCTGCCTGTGTTCTTAGGTTTCTTTGAGGTTGGTGAATCAGCCTCAGAGGACGAATTTAGCTCGCCAGGCACACCTGCATCGCAATCAGCTCTGCCGTTTCGTCTCGTTAGGACCTTAAGCCCCTACTTTGCCGGATACCCCTGCCTCGCCCCAGGTCCTGCCGCTCACCAGCAAAGCCCCACAGCGACCTGCAATCGCCATACGGGTGGACTTTACAGGTGACCTGCCTAGACTGCCGCACAGCATCACCCAGGCCTTTCGCGCCCGCCCCGTCGCGTGGTCAAGTACCCAGCCCCTGCCTTGGGTTGCCCTAGTCCTAATAAGGTTCTGCACCGCCTCTTCCCCGTGGGGGCCGCCCCCCGCCGCCGGCCCGAGCCATGCCACGCAGCCTCAACCTTCATAAGACCCAACCGGATGTCCCGGCGCACAGCTCACCCTATGGCTCCATCGCAACTGCGCCTTCGCCTCCCCCTGCCGCCCAACCGCCTATCCCGGTCCCTCGCGTTCAGGGGGTACCAATGTCTTTCAGCCGCCGTCAGCACGACATGCGCCGCCAGGCCTGCCACACTGCCTGGACGCAAATTCTGGGGATCCTGGCCGGTCTTTGGCAATCCTTGCAGCAAAGCTCCCAAGCCCAACAGCACATGCTTGCAGTGCTCAGGCCTTTCTCCCCAGGTACCTTGGAACGTTACTTCCGGGTTACCTTTAATTTTTTCGCCTTCCTGCATAGTTCCTGCATCCTGCCAGCTGCTCTGGCGCTTCACGTCATCTTGGACTTCATCTCTGCGGCCCGCGCCTCAGCAAAGCAAGATCGCGAAATCCATCAGATGACCGTGCCTTCCTGCATTAAAGCCCTTCGATGGCTCGCCAAGCATGCCCAATGGCAGGCTCTCGGCACCGCCCTTTGCAGCCCAGTCATCACCGCCTACACTTTCTCCAGCTCAGCCAGGGATCGGAAAGAGGCATTACCGATACCTCTGTCGCTGGTCGTCAGTTGGGAGCGTCGCGTCTGCGACAGCCAGGCACCGCTTACTACGCGCCTCAT